TCCAGTGACAAAAAATCCCAAAAAAACAGTCCCGTGACAAAATTAGTAAAATTGTAATTATATTGTAATTTTTCATTGGATTCTTCCGTGCCTTTGATCCCTTCACCATCCACCAGTGCAAAAACCAAATTAACCGCACTCACAGATAATAGTGAGTCACACGCCTTTCAGGAATATTAAGGGCTCCTGGACCCCCTTCACTTTATATAGGACCTCCAGATAATACCTCCTTTCATATATGGGTACCTCTTCTGGTTACTCCTCTCACCGAATCCCCCAAGGAAAATCAGGAAGAAGAAAAAACCATAGCATAATACCGTAGTGGTTTCTCATCAAAAAAATCTCTCCAGACCACTCACATTTTAGCAGGATATAACCCGCATTTTATTTGAAACAACAACGATCTTTCCTTAAAAACGATCCACTTTCCATGTACAGCGACTCTTGCATAAAAGACCCCACAGCCTAGTATACAGCAGGATGGCAGACCTCAGATGAAGACTCATCCACTATGCAAAAATGGCCCCTTGGAACGCACCGCTCGGCGTGCGTTCCACTCACCGGAAATGACGTCAGACGCCGGAACAGGCAACCGGAAGTGCGTCACTGCCTGTTCCGGCGTCTGGTGTCATTTCCGGTGAGTGGAACGCACGCCGGGCGGTGCGTTCCAAGGGGCCATTTTTGCATAGTGGATGAGTCTGCATCTGAGGTCTGCCATCCTGCTGTATACTAGGCTGTGGGGTCTTTTATGCAAGAGTCGCTGTACATGGAAAGTGGATCGTTTTTTAAGGAAAGATCGTTGTTGTTTCAAATAAAATGCGGGTTATATCCTGCTAAAATGTGAGTGGTCTGGAGAGATTTTTTTGATGAGAAACCACTACGGTATTATGCTATGGTTTTTTCTTCTTCCTGATTTTCCTTGGGGGATTCGGTGAGAGGAGTAACCAGAAGAGGTACCCATATCCGAAAGGAGGTATTATCTGGAGGTCCTATATAAAGTGAAGGGGGTCCAGGAGCCCTTAATATTCCTGAAAGGCGTGTGACTCACTATTATCTGGTGAGTGCGGTTAATGTTGGTTTTTGCACTGGTGGATGGTGAAGGGTTCAAAGGCACGGAAGAATCCAATGAAAATTACAATATAATTACAATTTTACTAATTTTGTCACGGGACTGTTTTTTTGGGATTTTTTTGTCACTGGACTTATTAATTCAATAATTATTTATTTATTTATTTATATATATATTTTTTATATATATTTTTTTTTTATTATTTCATTAGCATATAAGTGGTCTTGTGTCACAGTTTTTTTAAGTTTGTTTAATAGGTTGGGTGATGCAATTTATTATGTGGGTTTGCGCTGGTATTTATTGATATAACCTTTACATTATATGTTATAAATCTTATATCTTCCATATTTCTTGCATACTTCTCCTCTCTATGCAGAGTGTGTTAAAAAACTTCCCCCTATACCATCCTCCTCCCCCCCCTCCCCTCCCTCCTCCCCCCCCCCCCCACCAATGTCCCCCTCCTCCACCCCCCCTCAACCTCCCTCACAACCTCCTCTCCACTCTCCCTCCCCCCCCTCCCCCATTAGGCCTATTCTTTGCCATCTAATCCTTTTATGAACCTAGTGTCACTTTTGGATCTTGACCTTGAGGTAGAACTCTAACCCTGTACGGTTCACCCACACTCATTTTCCCCCAGTGTTCCCCTATCTATTCATTCTTTTATTCCTTCTTCTAACTTGCTGCCATTCCTCTTTTCCCTCAGCATATATCCCTCCTTCTTCCTCTTCTTCCCAACCTGGAATCTCTATTCTTTGAATATTAAGTTTATCAAAAAAGTCTCTTAATTCCTCAGGAAATCTCAGATATGCAGTAACTCCATTCTTCCATCCGATTAGACACATCGAGCCACTCCATCTATATTGTACATTTTGTTTTTTCATCTGTTCTATTAGTGGTCTCAATGATCTTTTTCTCCATAATGTTTCAGGTGTCAAGTCTGCAAAAATTTGTAAATGTTTTCCTTCATACTCAATACTAGCTCTTCCTTTTATCTTCTTCCATACTTCTTCTCTCTCTGCATTTTTATTAAAGTGTACCACTACATCTCTTGGTCTCTCTTCCACCCGATTTCGTTGAAACCTTCCTGACCTATATATAATGTCCAATACAAATGTCTCGGTTCTAGGTCTACCCATTATGGAGTTTAGAATTTTTTGTATTGTCTCTCTTAAGTCTTCTTCTTGTGTAAGCTCCGGAACTCCCTTTATCCTGAGGTTATTTTTCCTATGCATGTTACCTTGTATCTCCAATTTATATCCCAGCTTTTTCTGTTCTTGCCTAATCTCCATTATCTGATTTCTCAGTTCAGGAATGGCTTGCGCATGTTTTTTAATTTTTTTTTTGTTTCTTCTACTCTAGACAAAAGATGTCCCAAGTCTTTCCTAATAATTCCCATCTCCTGTTTGATTGATTTTTCCAAACTTCCAAACATTTCTGCCATCTCTTTTTTATTTGGGATTTGTAGTTCTCCTTCATTTTCTCTTAACTCCTGTTTCCTCCTGTTATTTGTTGACTATCAATATCCAATTCCACCGGAGATCTGGCACTCTTATCCATACTGTTTTCCATTATACTTTTTTCACCTACTCCCTGAGTTCTTTCTGGGGTCACATTACCTTGAGACGTAAATTTTCTAATTGTTCCAGATTGGGAATGTTTGGGCCCACTCCCATTACTATTTTTACTCTTCATGTTTTCTATATGTGTCCAAACCCTCTTCTTTAAAACTTTAGGGTATATGCTGTAATGGGTCCTTTAGAGAGGTTCTAGACTCTTCACTCTACTTGGTATTCCCTTTTTTTTTTTCTATGTATACTTCTCCTGCTGCTTCAATTTACTGTCCTTATAACAGATTTAATACACAGTCCAGCCACTCTCACTCACCCTCTCTCCAGCAGCTTTTCCAGGGAGGTTGTCTTTTGGGTTCTCTGTCCTCTGTTCTAGCTCTGTTCCTCTTCCCCTCAGTTGAAGGAGGGGGGGGGGGGGAATCTCTCCAGGTCGCCTTCCTCCTCCGTCTACCTCTCTCACAGGTATCTGGAAGCCAGGCTCTCCTTTCCCCCAGACTGGCGTCTCACCGGCTCCACTGAAGCCCAGCCAGTTCTCTTTCCTTCTCCTCTCACCGAGCCAGGACACTGAGCCGGGATCACGTGTCCTGTCAGTAACAGAACCAGCGTCTCCCTCTGACTCAGGAAGCCAGCCGGCTTCTGTCTCCCAGAGCTCCCTTTCGGGAGATCACGTGGCTATCCGGCGTCTACAGCACTCCCAGCAGCCTCGGGTGGGAGGTTTCAACCGTCCCGCACTCGTGGACTCCTGCAGCTCCGTTCTCATCAGATTCTCTTCGGGAACCCCCTCTTGCCCGTGAGTTTTGTTCGGGCCCCTTCGCAGCGTTATTCGGGGAACATCTGGGGAAGGAGGGTGAGTGTCTTGCGGAGAGTGCTCACATCGTCCTCTCTCCTACCGCCATAGTTAGGCTCCTCCTCTACCCCAGGAGAGTAAGTGGTTAACACTTACTGGGAAACATTTCACAGGATGCTGGCTTTTGGCCTAACAGACAATCCTGTTTCATAGTTCAAAATTAGAGCAATGATATATCAGATCATTTTTTAATTCAGAGAGACACTAACATTGAATGAAAGCATATAACATGGAAGGCACATTTATTACAACACTGCTGACTGAAAAGGAACGGTAATTTTTTATATCATTCAATTACACTATGACTTGTGTCTCAATTGTATATACAATATTATTTTTTTCTTTTTACTTGCTATTTTTTCCCCCATAAAAATGGAATTACCTTTTATTATTACCTTTATTCCCATCTGTGATGTAGACAAAATTAATGTTTGCAATAATTTTTTTTTTTTTTTTTTGGATTAACTACTTTTTTGTGCAAGAAATTCAGACCTGATCTAACAAAATGGCAGCACTATATCATGTTAACCTCCCTAGCGGTATGATTATTTCCGATTTTTGGTGCTGAAAGCGGTACCATTATTTTGCATGGAAATATGTAGTTTTTTTATTAAAGGCTGTAATATTTAGGAATAACTCACTGAAATCTGTCCGAACAAGAGTCTATTAAACATCCAGGGTATGATAAAATTTGAAACACAAAATCATAAATTATAATTTAATAAATAATCATAAAAAATAATAATATAATAATAATACATTTAGTTCAATAATATAATCAATCCAAAAACACTGAAATTTGAAATATAGTGCCAAGTTCGCACATCGCTGAGCAAAGTCGCAAAATTGTTTTCAGTGTCTGATGACGAATTTCCCCACAAATCATTATCACTCAATTCTGCAAGTAGTTCTAATTTACTATCGCTGTTCTCTAGCTGATCTAAAACTGCTTTTGACCTAAAGGGACGCTTTTTGGACTCCATGGACTTTTCTAAGTTTCCAGGCAGAAAGAACAGTCAAAATGCAGACAGGGGACAGGACAGAGCACTAGGGACAAAATGTATGTGAAATGGTTTGAAACAGCAATGTTTTACTATGTAATATTTGTTTTGAAAAAAATGACATTTTTTTTTTTTAAATTTTCAAATTTCCCGCTGCCGGCGGCACCCGTACGTCCCGACGTCACAGGGACCGGAACACAGAAGCCGGATGCCGGCATCAGCCGGAGGAGATGGCTGGGGACGCTGCAGGGGACACATCGCGGGAGCGAAGGACAAGGTAAGCTCTGCAGGGACTCCCTGAGCAACGCCGCATGGTAAGCCCGAGTGTAGCTCGGGGTTACCGCTTTTGGTACAGAAACTTTACCCCGAGCTACACTCGGGAATACCGCCAAGGAGGTTAATATTTATAAAATGCATGTGGCCTATACGTCAAATTTATATATTCCAAAAAATACTGGCTGAACCTTGTCATTTGTAGTTTTCTACCAGAGCTGCACCAGAACTTCCTCACTGTGTTATCTTGCACAATAATACTTTGCAGTGTCTGACTCGGTCAGTCTGTCAATCTTCAGCAGGGCAGTGGATCCACTTGTGGATGGAGTGACTCTGCCTTTGACACTATCAGCAATATAAGTATCATATCCAGTTCTAAATGCTGCGACCAAAACCAGGCTGATTGTCCCCATTACTAGTTTAAAAAAAAAAATCCAGTATATATACTGCCATTTGTAAATGCTATAATGTTCATGTACACTAATTAATTTACATGTATTGGGATTTTTATTTAGCAAAGACGTAGCAGAATACATGTTGGCCTAAATTTACGACGAAATTAGATTTTTGCATTTTTTTTTTTTACAGGATATGTTTAAAAGCAAAAAGTCAAATATATTGTTTTTTTTTTTTCCAAACTCGTTGATCTTTTTTTATAGCGCAAAAAATAAAAAATAAAAAATTCAGAGAGACACTAACTCTGAATGAAAGCATATAACATGGAAGGCACATTTATTACAACAATGCTGACTGAAAAGGAACAGTCATTTTTACTAACATTCAATTACACTATGACCTGTGTCTCAATAATATATACAATATTATTATTTTTTTTACTTGCTATTTTTTTTTCCCCCATAAAAATTTAATTACCTTTTAAGTGAACTTTTATGCCCATCTGTGATGTAGACAAAATTAGTGTTTGCAATAATATTGTTTTTTTGGATTAACTACTTTTTTGTGCAAGAAATTCAGACATGATCTAACAAAATGGCAGCACTATATCATGTTAATATTTATAAAATGCATGTGGCCTATACGTCAAATTTACATATTCCAAAAAATACTGGCTGAACCTTGTCCTTTGTAGTTTTCTACCAGAGCTGCATCAGAACTTCCTCACTGTGTTGTCTTGCACAATAATACTTTGCAATGTCTGACTCGGTCAGGTTTCCTCCAGAGGCTTGTCTGATCCAGTGCATGTGGTGATTGTTTATATTATAACCACTGACTTCACAACTTAAATCAATGGATTTTCCAACTTGAGCAATTTCTGCATTTTTCTGAGTCAATACAATGGATGCCGATGCTCCTTTAGGGAAAAAATAGTTTGTAAGAATAAAAAACACATTGTAATACTATTGTAACTGTTTTTATGTTTGCCTATTCACCAACTCACCAGAAATATACAGAAAGATCACATAAAATATATGTAGGTCCATCACAGTAGAATTATAACCCCTCAACAGAATAGATCTGTACAACCTTCTGTGTTTTTAAACTAAAACATCAGATAATTTGCATATTGTTATGTACTAAGAAATTATTTCAGATGTCACTTCCGGAATTATGTTGCTTAAGTATCATCTGCAGAACAAAAGGACATAAACTAGATAACATTTAGTGAAACCTTATTTAGCAAGTTGCCCATCAACATCAGATAATTTGAACCTGACATCATTATCATGCATTGTGCACCCTATCAGACAAATCTTAAAAAAATGTTTTCTTTTATGATAGGTCAGGGATATTGAATTATGGCTACTTTCACACTGAGGAGTCTTTGAAGCGTTTTTGCATTAAAAAAAAGTGCGTGAAAAGCTCAAGAATAATGCTTCCCTATGTATATCTATATATGTTTTCACACTGAGGCGTTGCGATTGTGGTGCGGTGTAAAAAACTCCCGCTTGCAGCATCTTTGGGGCATGTTTGGGGAGTTAAAAAAAATGCCCCAAAAATGCCTCTTCCCATTGGATTCAATGGAAAACACCTGAAAAATGCCTGAAAAGCACCTTAAAAAAGAGACGTGTTTTTGGTGCAGTTTTTAAGTCACGTGCTCAGAAAGTGCAGCAAAACTGCGGTAAAAACACCTATGTGTTTTTGCGGCGGATCAGTGTGAAAGTAGCCTACAATTCACAAAGGGACGGTCAGTGAAATTTTCTTCCAGCAGAGACCTTGTTCTCCCTGGGTCTCATGGTAAAACCTGGACCTCCTGTAGAAGGTTCATGTAAGCACATCATACTGTATACCTTTTTTATTTCCCTTCAACTTTATTAAAACGTCAAAATTACAAATTATTTAGTTCTATAGACTACAGCCCAACTGTGGTGAGTAGAAAGAGACAGTACACAAATCTTTCAAGGTGAGCTCTGGTCTGCTGCAGAAAAATGCATACAGTATGCATATTTCCACACAAGGCAGGGCTTTGTAAATCTCAGAACTGGTTGGACATAAAGTTAAATGTATTGGAAAGTAAAAGAGCTCCCATATATGCAATGGTCTATATTGTCTATGTCTGCACCCTGATATCAATAAGGGCCTGTGTCTATTGAAAGCATGGCCTGTGTGACCTTTGAACTATGGCCATGACCAGCAGGCTTAAAAAGGCAATAAAAAGGGCAATAAGGGCTCCTGGATAAGCCAGCCTCCTCACTATAAATGAAGGTTGGGGGGGGGGGGGGCACAGAGGAGCCATAGGGATAGATTTACTAAAACTGGTGCAGTCAGAATCTGGTTCACTGTAGCCAATCAGCTTCTAACTTCAGCTTGTTCAGTTAAAGTGTTACTAAATCCAGGACCCTGCATTCACTACATCTGGTCTCCCACAGTACACAGAACAAGGAAATGAAATATTTTGTAAATACAAACTGCTAAACACGTTTTCTCATCAGCAGTTAGAGCAGTCTTGTGATTTCTATCAGTATTTAGCAGAGCACATGTTAAAGCTTGTAGAAGTTTTCTTTCTGCTCTAGGAGGATGCAGAACCCCTGACCTCTGTCTGGACAGTGCTGATTAGCCCTGTGTTGATCATATGCACTCTCCCAAGAAAGCAAAACACACCAAACTGAGCATGTGCAGAGTGTCTCCACACCATATGTCTTTTCAGGAGATAGGAGGGGGACACTGGAAGAAGGGGAGGATCAGAGAAGTCAAGATTAAACAGCATTTTTACACAATGCAGATGATCAACCCCTTCCACAGTGAGTATAACAAGCATGCTTTAATACATATACAGACTGATTATACTATTGTAGGTTTAGTAATACTTTAAGCTTTGGCAATAACACCTGAAAGCTGATTGGTTTCTATGCAAAGTTACACCAGATTTTACACTCTCCGGTTTTAGTAAAAAACATCCATAGTGTCAGTGAATTGGAAGCTATTATGTGGAAAGTTTACAAACTGCATAGATAGAGATTAAGGTCTGTGAAACTGTACCTTAATTCAGATCGCTATCTCTTTTGGCAATCAACTCCTTTCCTGTTTTTTTTTTTTTCGTTCTAATTGGGGATTTTTCATCTTTCATTTTATTTTGTTGTTGATTTAAGGTCATTGGTCACTTTTTGCCACTCTTGTCCACAGCAAACTTCTTTTTTTTGTGGTAATAGATACACCTTTAAAGAAAAGTGGGCTTTTGTTTTAGGGGTGGTATTTTGTGTTTTTTATTTTATTTGTGGATTTTTAATCTTTTGTTGATATGGCCTTTTTTAAGTTTGAAGTGTTTTAAAGTGAAGCAATTGCTGTATTTTCTAGCTACCTTTCTATTCACAGCACCACTCTGCATCATTTAAAAAAAAAACGCACATGAACAGTGGTACCAAAACCACCTGATGATATATTACTCACCTTCAATCCCCTTAGATAAAATAAAAAGTAGGCATACACAAGTTAGGCCTACTGTCCTTGATTAAAACTGTCCTTATGCTGGCCTCTTCGTAATAAGAGCTGGTTAGAAATTGGCTATTAGCTGGACAGTTTTGCAACAACAAGAACAAGGACTGCCAGATCAATCTACTGCTAATCTCTAAAAATGTAACTTTATATATCATTTGTAATTTGTCATTGAATATTTACTGTACATATTTTCATGTTACATACTTTGCCTCCTGCTCTGCAGCTATGGATCGTGGTTGTTCTTTACTGCTCTTTCAATGCTCTTTCAATGCAATTCAAAACAATGAATCACATGATTCACTGAAGACAATGCCCTCCCTGTGTGGATAATATATATTTTAAAAAAAATGTTAGATTGCATTAGGTTGAATCATTTACAAATCATCTTCTAGTGCTTAATCCATCAATTTCAATATTAAAGTGTTACTAAACCCACAACAGTAAAATCAGTCTCTATATGCAGTAAAGAATGCTTGTTATACTCACTGTGGAACCTAAGGGGTTAATCCTCTGCATTGTGTAAAAAGGCCATTTGTTCCTGATTGCTCTGTTCCTCCCCTTGTTTAAGGGACCACCTCTTATCTCCTGATAAGACAGACTGAATGGTAGGCATTTTGCACATACTCAGTTTGGTGTGTATTGCTAGAGGTTTTTTTTTTTTTTTTTTTTTGCTTGGGAGAGTGCATGTGATCAGCATGGCCAATCAACACTGGTCAGACAAAGGTCAGGGGTTTTGCATCCTCCTAGAGCAGAAAGAAAATTCCTCCTACAAGCTTTAACCAGTGCTTTGCTGGACACTGATAGAAGTCACAAGACTGCTCTAACTTCTGATGAGAGAAGGTATTTAGCAGTTTATATTTACTAAAATAATTGCACTTCTATGTTCTGTGTACTGTGGGAGACCAAATATAGTGAATGCAGGGTCCTGGGTTTAGTAACACTTTGAGAAAATGTTATATTAATTGCACAGGGCCAGGGGCGGACTGACAACTCATGGGGCCCCCGGGCAATAGGGGATCATGGGGCCCCTGTGTTCTTGCCCAAACTCAAAAAAGCCTATTAAAAAAGGTACCAGGGGCATCTCATGGGGCCCCCTACTGACCCCGGCCAGCACAGTCCGCCCCTGCACAGGGCTCTTACTAGCCTCCACAATTAGCTAATCTAGATATCTCTATATTTAATACAATAATAAAAATGTAGGAAAACAGATATGTATAAATGGGAATATCTTATCAAAAATTCCTTATATAATATAATAATAACAATAATAATAGCTTAGAAAATATGGAGAGCACTCATGGGAGTACTATATGGGAACCAAATAGTTCAGCTCACGGCGGAGCCCTGGCTAACATGATTATGTCAAAGTTAATTTTAGATCTTCCTAACAGGAGCACCAACAGCAAAAAAAAGAGTGACGGAAGAAGTCTTACCTTTCTTCACTTAAAAATAAAGACATGTTTGGTGGAGGATTCACTTTTTAAAACTGATTTCATATTAGATGATTTGCCAGGTGGTGCATTCATCTTGGTAAACACTGCCATCCAATGTTGATTAAGTATAATACAATCAATGGTCAAAGCTACGGAAGTTTCCTAAACCCTGATGAATCTTGTAATTGATCATTATTCATAGCCAACATTTTAATTATAATTAATTGGAGAACAAAACAATTTAATTATTTCCTGTGATTCTAAAATTGGCTTAGAAGAAAGCTATAACATTTCATGACTGCAAGCTAAGGGGAACAATTTGTGGAGAACTTTAGACGGCACCTATCAGCAATGACCTAAGGGTCACACTGGCTTAAAAAAAATGCTGCCTCCTAGAGGAGTTTAGCGTTTTGCCTGTAGAAAAACTGATGTTATCTTTTATGTCCATGCACATTAGGTTGTTTAAAGGTATATTTTAAGCTCCATGTTTATACAGTAGGCAGAAAAAAACCCTTCTGTTTTGTGTTTTTGAGATCGTTTTTTTTTTTTTTGGCAGAAAAAAAAAATGCTAAATGCTTCTAAACACTCCTAAAGCTAGTCCAAAAAGTGCTCACAATTTGCGTTTTTTTTTATTTCTTCTGCCAAGAGTGCTTTTGTTTTTAAGCCAGTGTGCACAGATCCTAAAGCTGGCAAGCAACCTGTAAACCTGTAAACTAAATGCAGTTCAGCACTTATTACAAATGAATGATGTATTTTAAATGCACCTTGTGTAAATACCTGAGTTTGACTTGATTTCAGCCTCTTAGTCCCCTGTACAGAGTGCAGAGTGAGAGAGAGCGAGAGGTATCACTATAAAGAGTATCTCTATATGGACTAACAAGGAATCTTCTGATTGGGGGGGCAGTGGTGTTGCTATGGGGGTGCACACAGCACTCAGGTGACACCCACCAGAGGGGTGACATCAGGGATTTTTTTTCTGCAGGAAC